ATGTGTACTCTAATATATTTTTCTCATACCTTATAAACAATGAAATTGAAACCATTGTAGGGTTCACATATATTAAGCCGTGACGATACTAGACACAGAATCCTTACCTATTAAGAGTCAATTACTGGTTATAAAACCCTAAAATGGAAAGGTGGATTGTACTACTCCAGATTACAAATGAAGCATCACATTCATAGGATTTAAAGCTAAGCCCATGGTCTCTGCAATGCAGGGAGGGTACCCTGGGATAGCCTCTGTTCAGTGAACCCCAACAGTTTCAAAGTATAGAGAGATGACTCCACCACACAGGCTTCACCATGTCATTGGATGCTAAAAGCAATTACTTTTCTTGTGACAAATGCTCCACTGTCAGGATTCATTCAACATTCAAAAAATCAAAATAAAGAAGAGTACATTTAACAACAACAACAACAACAATAATAATAATAATAATAATAGAATTAGAAGGGATCTTGCAGGTCTTCTAGTCCAACCCCCTATTCAGGCAGGAAACTCTATACCATTTCAGACAAATGGTTGTCCAATCTCTTCTTAAAAACTTCCCATTTTGGAGGATTCACAGCTTCTGGAGGCAGGTTGTTCCACTGATTAATTGTTCTAACTGTCAGGAAAATTCTCCTTATTCTAGGTTGCTTCTCACTTTGGTTAGTTTCCATCCATTGCTTCTTATCCTACATTCAGGTGCTTTGTAGAATAGCTTGACTCTCTCTTCTTTGTGGCAACCCGAGATATTGGAACACTACTATCATGTCACCCCTAGTCCTTCTCTTCATTAAACTGGACATACCGAATTCCAGCAACCGTTTCTTATATGTTTTAGCCAGTCACCTAATCATCTTTGCTGCTCTTCTCTGCACGCTTTCTAGAGTCTCAACATCTTTTTTACATCGTGGTGACTAAAACTGGATGCAGTATTCCAAGTGTGGCCTTACCAAGGCATCAAAAGTGGCATTAACACTTTACGTGTTCTTGATTTTATCTGTCTATTAATGCAGCCTAGCACTGTGTTGGCTTTTTTGGCAGCTGCAGCACACTGCTGGCTCATAAGTGATATTTGCAATTAGATAATATAATAGGCAGTGAACTGATAACTTTGTCTCAGAGAAAAATTACTTTTACTGCTTCTGATATGGTGGTGATCTTTTTTGGTCACTCTATACAAGCTGTGTGCAGCTTTATGCAGCTCACTAAGCCATCTATTAAGTTCTGCCAAGTTTCTGATAAACCTCCTAGATTTTTTTTCCCATTCTGGCATTGAAAAAAAAAAGTTGCCAAGCAGCTGGTGCACCAAAACACACAGGCCCTAATTGGACACTTTGCTGGTTCCAGTTTTGCTTGTTGCTTTGCAAACATTAAATAGAGAAGGAAAAGTGATTAAGAAGTCTGACTGTGAGATGGAAGTGTATTTGGTTCATTTTTTTTGTTGCAACCTCACCCTTTTGCTGCTCAATTTTATGATAAATTAATCATAAAGGCAAGGGAATTCTGAATTAGTTAATTTCACTCTTGAAGGGAGGAATTATTTTTAAGCAATATATAGTGTTGAAATCACTGAGGAAAAATCAGCGATAACCACAATCAATTCCAGAAGCTCTATTCCGTCTAAGTTAATCTAAACACACCTCTTCTCTGTAATCTTCTAAAAACAGCAGCAAAGGCCAGCTGAGCCAAAAAGTAAAATACTTTTCTGTTTCTTTTCTTTCTTCAAATTAGGCTTTGACTACGTGTGGATGTACTGCCATTTTCCCCACATTCATTAACACCACATTATTTTTCTATATTTCCAAGTCATGAAAATTATGAATTGGATTTAGATATCATGCTTAGCCATGTTTAACTATAATTTCTTGAGTAACAATAAGTACAATAAGCTAACCATTAGGAAAAAAATTCTAATAATAAAAGTAGCTTCTTGGTATGTGCTCCTGGGTAAATGTGTCTACAATGACAAAATTTATATTATAATCCTCAATAGATTTCTGATAAATCAAGAAGAGCAATTGCATTTGTAAAACTTGAAACAATGATTTCAGAAAATAGCTGTCTCAAATCCCTTTGAGAGGGGAAAAAAACACCTTTCTAATTTCAGCCAGTCTGCAAGAAATCAAAAGGAACTCTACATATTCTGGGTGTTCTTGCTTTTGCCTGGATTGTTTATGTAAATTAATCAGCCAGCATTTGAAAGTTTGTTAAATTAATTTTAAGCAGAAAATCTGATTAACCTTCACAACACTCTGCTAATAACAATAGTTTGGGTGCTGTTCATGTTGAAGTATAAATAAAATATATCTCAGGTTTGCAAAATAAGTTAATTGCAAACTATGTGTTTTTACCCAGTGTTTCTTTAAAAAAAAACTATTGCTAAGTAAAAACAGATAGCTCTGCAAATGGATTGATGCTATTATTATTTGTATTCAAAATTTAAAGGTCTTTCAGATTTCTTGATATATTCCATTTATACTTCTCCATAACTGCCAGTGGGTCTACAAAAGCCACTACAAAAGGAAATGTTCAATTTCAGATATCCTTATTCTTCATTACATTAGCATGAACTGTAACCTCATACGGTTTGGCAGCATGAGTAAGAATTTCTTCATAACAAGTTCAATCTAGTTAAGCTGATATTACTCTCATTGCTTCCAATGAAAAGAAATTAAATAAATCTTTTTAAATAAATAGTTAAGGTTAAGGTGCAATTTACTCAGCAGTTAGTCCCTTTGAGTTTAATTGGCTTTGCCATCAGGTAAAGAGGTTAAAAGTCTTGAACTTATATCTGTGGATTTGCAGCATAATGGGCTTAATCTTGCTAGATTGTGCCAAATCATTCTGGTCACCTGGCAATTCATCAATAAACCAAATGCTTACAGATCTCAATAAAGTTTCAGTGCTTAAAGATTATTGAAGTGGTAAATCTTAGTTTTAGGCTAACCACTCTCTTCATATTTTTGACATCCGGTTCCCCTGAAGACACCCCTGCCAGGTCTCATAACCAAATGGTCCATCTTCCAAAAACTACCACTAAAAATTAAAACAAGGATTTGATGCTAAGATTTACTCACTATTACAGAATCTAGTTTTCTATATATAGCCTATAACTATTTTAAATGGAAGCACATCATATGAGCCCTACCAACAGCCTAGAATGGATAACAGCCTATGTCCAAATATGTCCAACTAAACTAAAATCCCATTGAGATCATTAGGAGACAAGACAGTCATAAATATTGATTTCAGCAGGACTGTGATATAACTTTACTGAGTTGGTAAACCTATTTCTACAGCATTTTACTTCTGCCCTTCAAAGAATTAAAAGGAGCAAAAAAGAAAGAAGAACTAAAAAGGGATGAAAAAATAAAAATGCCAGAAAGAAGATGTAGCATCCTAAGCTTCTGAATTATTCTCACAGATGATAGGTAAATTGCATAAAGGGAACTATATCCTTCAGCACTCTTGAATTTTATGGTCACTTTTGGCTACTACAAAAGACCCCTGACATATAGGAACAGGTGCAAAGAATGGTAACAGCAAGAATAATAAAGAACAAAAACAGATTGCAGAACTGGACAACTTTAGCTTTGAGAAAAGATAACCAACAACTCTAACAGGTGTCACACCAAGGATGTCCATGATCTGTTCCTACAGTGAGCTTAAATTATAAAAAGGCAGATTTCTATTAAATGTCAGCAAAACATTTGAACGGTACAGTTTGACACTAGAACTAATTTCAGAAAGAGGTGCTAAGCTTCCTTTCATTGGATAAACACCTGTCAAATACAGTGTAATTGGGATTTCTGCAGGAGTAAAGGACTGGGCTCAGTTATCTGAATGGCTCCTTCTAGCTTTATCATTCTAAACACTAGAGAGAGATTTCACTCAGCAGCAATTTTTCAGTCTAATTGGTCAAGAGTGAAAGGAAAACCTAAGAAGAAAATAAGTGAGAGATATTGAATTGCTTGCATTTTGATACCATAATACCATTGCAAATATTGTATGTTTAGATAGTGCTATTATTCTCTGAGAATTCTAGCCACCCACAATATTCTAAAGTATTACAATTGAATTATTAAAATGTACATAATCTTGCTTTCAATCACCACAGGAAAGACAGAGCAGGCAGAACAATATAAATTAAAGATAGAACATTGCATCGTGTTAGTTTTTATTTTTGAACGTTTGTGAAATAGCTCTTCTGTTGTTTTGCAGTATATTTGATATTAATTAAGATGTACCAAGTACTTAGCTGGATATTGTACAGAAGAGATTTTAGGAGTGTTAGCTCACCAACTTATGGTTCTACTGATAAACAATAGCTACTTATGTATTAAATACATAATGGGTGGCTATGGAAATCAAATAAATAAATATTTAATCAATTTATTTTTGAAGTAACTTTTTAATTAAAAGGTTTATTTTAAAAGCCACCCAGCTTAAGTACAATTACGTAAAGTTAAACCCATTTAAATATTGTTATTTATTGCATATATGTTCTCTTTTTCTAAGAACTCAAGGCACATCTTGGCAGATCTCTCCTCAAGTGATCCCTACAACAGCCCTGCAGAGTAGTCTGGTCTGGGAGAGAATAAATGATCCAATGTCATCCATGTGAGCTCTACGGTTGGTTGAGAACCAAAATACAGTTATGAATACTTAGGCTTAGTTACAGGGTAGTCCTGTGAATGTTTACTTTGCATCTTTCAGTGCGAAGTCTTAGTTCCATATATATGAACGGAAGATTGTGCCCTAAGGTTAAGTCTCTTCAACTGAAATTAATGGCACTTCAAAGGGTTTAATGGAAGCAGAATTGTTCTCCTTGTTATTAATATTAACAGACATACAGCACAAGCAGCCATTCATTCAGTTTCCTCAAGCAATGAATGATTATTTCTCCCGGGGGTTGGGGGGGCGGGTAAAAACACAGCAGTCTCTTTTAAAATGCTTTCCTGTTTTTAATAGATGGTACCTTAACACCAAACCTCTATAGTCCAGATTCACAAGAGAGATCTGTGGGGAGGGGAACAGAAGTATGCTGCCATTGCATTGTGTTCATTTAAAGGTTAGGAAAAAACAAATATATAATCTAATCAGGACATTAGAAGACAGCTCAATACTACATCAATGCTGAAGTTGGTTTTCAACAGGGCAAAATGCAAGTCTGGTTGGACCAGAACATATTGCAGAAGACAATTTACAAGATTTATCAGGTGGGTGTCCCAGAGTACCAACAGCTGATGGTAAAATAAATTACTGTACATCACGATGTTAGTCATTGAAAACGTATCTTGATCCAGATTTAATATAAGAAAAAGGCTGATACACTAAAGAAATGTCTTAAAAAGAGACAGATACATCCCAAAACATTCCTATGAAGTAATAACTCCATTCTCTCATCGATATAGATACACAAGCATAGCTGAACTGTTCTGCATTCACAGTTTGCAAGACATAGGGTATGTAATACTGCAGAGAAAGAGAAAAAAAGTCATTTTTTTTGTCCAAAAAAGAGGATTGTGAAAATCATTGGAGGGTGGAGATCATTTTTAAACTTAGATATTGATCCTACAAAAGGAAACAAAAGCTAATCTCTAAAATTGAGAGTGAAAGAGTTGGAAAAGCAGAAGAGGAAGAGAGAACAATTACAGATTTCACAAAAAGGTTAATGCATTCTTGGTTGTTTCAAATTGGACTAACCACCAGTCCCCCACTCTCAGGTCCCAGGACGGGGCTTCGAATGCACCCTTAGAAATAGACCCTCCCTTGTATAAAACGCGCCACACTCTCCCTCAGTTTTTCATAGTTGTCAGTAGATTTAAACCCAGTCCTTTCAATACCACATGTTTGTGTAACCCACACATCCCAAAAGAATGAAATGTAAATGTGCTATAATATATAACCAGAAACATTTATGTATGTACATCCCAATAGTAAAGCCTGAACCACTGATTTCAGGGAAGATTGTTTTATATTTGGTAGCACTGAGCAGTTTTCCCTTGTCTTCTCTGCTTGGGAAAAAAAAGATGCATCTTTCTGTTTGCAAGTACAAAAAAAAAAGTAAATGAAGAACGCAATTTAATTTGACATGCGTTTGAATACTGACAGGTCGGTTAGTTCTTTCATATATATTAGCAATAATCATCATTATCTTCAAGATTATAATAATAGCCACTGAAATATATACAAACACCAAAAAAAAAAAAAGTCTTTTGGTGAGGTCCCCACAAACAGAAGTCAATCAAATCAAGACAATACCACTGTTTGCAAGAGCCCGGGAATATCTGTTTCCAAACCCGATCTTTCGGGATGGGGATTCTGCGCTTCTGGAGCAGAAGGAGAGGGGATGCTACAATCCTGGGTGATTTTCCCTGGACTGGATGATTCTTTTCCTTGGGGTATTTCACACGAATCCCCTGCCTGGGTGCTGGTGCTGCTGCAGTGGTCCCGTTCATATTCTTCTTGCGCCTTCTGCATTTTCCGCTTCTTCATCTTCCTCTTGTGGATGTGGAAAGTGATCAGGGAAAGAAGAATCAGGCAGCAGATGAGGGCGACCAAGACAATCAAGACAAAAGTGGACGAGAAGGACTGGAAGAACTGCCCCATTTGCGTGATGCAGGTGCTACTGGCATTGGAAGAGCCAGATGTCCTATTCAAAAGGCAGGGGGGCAGGGAGAGGCTGGACCCTTTGGACAGCTCCGCACTCATTGAGGAGGGTCGTTTCGTTTGGTTTCCTTCCCCCTAAAAGACGTCTCCTGCAGATGTCTCCACTGAGATGCTTGTCACCTTACGCTAGGGACGGAATGCCTTGCCCAGCCCTTCACACCTCCCTCATTTTTCTTTGCTAGAGGAAAGAAAGATTATAAAAATAAATAAAAAATAAATGTTCCATGCCTGAAACAAACCAAATACACAACACTGGATCCAAGCCAAAAAAAAAAAAAAAAAAAAAGAACCAAACCTCTTTCATTACCATTTTTCATCCTTTCAGCCACAGTACCATTCCCACCCCAGAAGGCACCATCTGTTATAGAGGCGATTTTCAAAGGTGAGAAATGCAAGGACTGCATTGTATTCATCCCGGCTGTCCTCCACACCCGAGAAAGAGAGAGCCCTTGCAAATTCGTAGGTCACGATTGCTGACTGTTACAGAGATTTAAATTTATATACCCCAGCAAGGACTCCCCACCCACCACCCACCTACCCACCCACCCCAATTACTCAGCAGCTTGATAGCTTGGTCTACTTGACCGTTTCCTCAAGTTCCGGAGGTTGAGAAAGTTTAGACATTGTGCAGCTTCCTGGGTTTTCTCCCCCGACCCCCCCCCCCGCCGCCTCCGCACGGCACACCCGCCCCCGCCTGCACGACAGCTATAACCCCGCAGGCGTCTCTGGAGGAAGCCCCCCCAACTGCACTGAGCAAAGGCGAGCCTTTGTGAGAAGGCAAGAAAGAAAGAAAGAAAGAAAGAAAGAAAGATGGACTTTTAAAGCTCACCTGCTCCTTGGTGTCTGCGGAACGGGAGGGAGGGCGAGGGAAGGAAGGTGGCAAGGATGCCCCCCGACAACGGGCTGCGGAAAGCGCTGAATGAAACGGGCAAAGCCGCCGCCGCCGCTTCTCGCAAAAAGTGGGCTCTCAGCCTATAGCCAGCCTGGGCGGTGACGTCACGCAGCCAAGATCTCCGACTGGCTGCGCTTCCCGCCGGTGTTTCTAGTTGTCGCCCCGCCGTCACGGCTCTTCTAGCCGGCGGGGGCTCCTTTGCTCCCCCCCCCACGCGGTCTTTCGCTCCACGGGCGCCCCTTTTCGCCCCAGATAGCGCGGCATAGAACCAAGAGGGAAAGCGAGCACGCTTCAGTTAAAGTTCAGCTCAAGATCTAGTCTTGAGCACTTGGGGCAAGGTAGTGGGGTCTCTGCTTGGAAGTGAGGAGGGTCAGCGAGGCAGTCCTCGGCTTACGTCCACAGTTGAGCCCAAAATTTAGATTGCTTAAATGAGACATTTGTTAAGTCCATTTCTACGACTTTTCTGGCCACAGTTGTTAAGTGAATCACTGCAGTGGTTGAGTTAGTGGCCCGGTTGTTAAGTGAATCTGGCTTCCCCATCAACTTCGCTTGTCAGAAGGGCATCACGTGACCCACAGCAACCATCATAAATATGAACCAGTTTCCAAGCATCTGAATTTTAATCGTTGGGGATGCTTCCAACGGTCATAAGTGTGAAAAATGGTCATAAATCACTTTTCTCAGTGCCGTTGTAACTTTGAACAGTCACTAAACCGACTGTTGTAAGTCGAGGACTACTTGTGTTCTGAGCTCTGCCCAAAGTGTCTGCTTTCAGCCCAACCAGGATTAGCCGGGGGGGGGGGGGGAGAGAAAGAGAGAGAATCTATTGCCACTTCCTGCAAATAACATATTTGAGTTAGATGAGGATGTTTTGAAGAAATGTAGTTTGCTCAAGTAACCTCTGTTGGCTCGGTTTGTGCACAAAAAGTAAGGTTAGAACATCTCTCGTGTGAAAAAAGTACACAATGGTTTAATACTATGCATGAATCTAGTCATTATGTTTCTGTAATATGTTTAACCTTCTTATTGAATTATATGGATAATTCTCAAAAGCAAGTTATTGTGGCACCATGGCAGAAAAACTCAAAAGTGTTTTTCCATGGACATTAAAGCATGAGAATAATATATAATTAATACTATATTGCTTTTTTATGGACATTATTCACTTGCCTATTTCCTAGTACCCCATCAAGCTGCTAAAAGCCAGTGTCTTACTTTACTTAATGTAGGGCCTCTCCAGCCAAAAGTTAAGATAGAGAGCCAGTTTGGTCTAGTGGTTAAGGCACCAAGCTACAAGCTGGGAGACTGTGGATTCTAGTCTCCCATTAGCCATGAAAGCCAGTTGGGTAACATTAGGCTAGTCATTCTTTCTCAGTCCAACTCACCTCACAGGATTTTTGTTAGGGGGAAAATAGGAGGATGAAGATGTGTTGGATATGTTCTCTGCCTTGAATTATTTATAAAAAAGGCAGGATACAAATTAAAGATAGAAATAAAATAGAGAAAGAAATCAGAAAGTAACTTAAAGTTTTAAAAAATACTGGAAACACATTGCCTTTTATGTGTTCTTTTCTAGAATATCTCAGTGGGGGCCTAGCAAATAAGATGCATGTGAGTCTGTCTCAGGAGTCCTCATCAGGAAGGCCATCTAGGAAGAAAAATTCCAAGAAGCAGACAATAATGGAGCATGGACAGTTAGATGAGATGGACTGGGCGTCACTGGCTCCCATGAGGAGGCTCTAAACTCACAATCCTATTGTGCTGCCCCAAAGTTGCCTCAATAAGGCTGCCACCAACCATTTCTCCCCAGAGAAATCCCCTTCTATCCTAGTTTACACAGGAGGAGGCAAATGATAATCCTCCTTCCATCTCTAGCTTGACCAGAATTAAAAACCTTGCTTTAAAGTCTTTCCTCAAAATATATTGGCAATGAATATATGAAAGGGGTAGATGACATCTGCCTTTTTGGATCACCCATCAACAGTAAAGGAACAAATACTCAAGACTGGACACTCCAGACTAGTACTTAATAGAGCAGCCATGAAGATCTTGGAAAATATATTCAAATGTTGCGTTGAATCATGCAAGCCATGGCATTCTCTATGGGAGCAAAAGTTGGACTTGGAAGAAGCAAATAAAACTTTGAACTTTGGTGTTGGAGAAGACTCCTGAGAATACTATGGATAGCCAAGAATGCAAACTGATGGACCATCAAATAAATCAAGCCAGAGTTCTCACTTAAGGCACAAATGACAGGCTCAAATTATCCTACTTTGGACACATTACTGAAATACTTTGGAGAAGATTCTAATGCTGGGGGAAAAGTAGAAGTTGAGTAGCAGCAAGACAGATGGATTTGGTTACAATGGTGATGTATGCATGATTGGAGGACCTGAAAAAGCAGATATAAATTCCTAATCTCAAAACTAGATTTTTGTGAATCAAAATTTCTTCTTTTTATCTGCTCTCAACAACAGGGAAAGAGCTTAAACAGGAGCAAAAATAAAAAAACAAAATAAAATCAACCATCCTCTTCTTAAAAGCTCTCCTGACAAGAGAAAACTAGCTCCTTAACTCCTTAACTGAATAGTTCCTTAACGTTTGATTTTTTAAAATGTGCTTTCATTATACTGTATGTATGCATTACTACATTTAGACTGAGCTAATTTTCCTTTAACTGCTTAAGTGTATTGACTTCTTAGAAAGATGCTGCAGATCTAGGTCCAACAGTTTTGCTAAGCCTATAGCATTAAATTGCCTTCCAGGGAGCCAATAGACTCTGATGTGGATCAAGATCTTCACATATTTTTCAAGAACACCGCCACCAACCTTAGGCCAAATTTAAGAAGATGGATATGGAATAGTGCTTGGCTAAGTTGAAAAGCTAGACTGGGCTACTGGAAAATAATCTAAAGAACCTGTCCAACTGTGCTTGGATGTAAATTGGACACAACAATGGCTGCTTGAACAATATACGTAAATCAATGATGGCCATTCATGACGTCGAGCTTGACAGAATTGAATTTCTGATTAAGTGTAATGTACACTTTACTTTGCAATCAAAGCCAAAATGGCTTAATGACTGATTAAATAAGTATTGTATATCTAGTGAACCGACTTGTGATTGTACAAGGCTGCAAGAAGATGTAGATGCAAATGTACAGTAATTGTAGGACGCAACATAAAAGCCCACTTTCCTACACATGTGGATCTCAATAGCAGTGCTGATAAACTGTCTCAGTTTTATCCCTAGAGTGCTCTGAAATGCTTAAGTAAATATTACTCTGCATTTATTACTATGCATATGGCTACACAAAAACATATGGCCTCCTAAATGAAGATGTAAAATAGCAAAAATGGGAAATGAGAAACTAGGAAAGAACAAGAAAACTAATTTAAATAAGGACTTAGAAGAAAATAAGATGACTGATGTCTTGCATAAGTAATGTATAGAAATCTTTAGTTCCAGGAAAGTGAACAATCTCTATTGCACTGTTGCCATTTCTATTTTTAAACTTTCAATAAATGCTTTTTTTAAAAAAATCTTTGACTCTTTCTAGCATTATATCTCTCCAGTGTAATGCAGATAACACACATTGAAATCCACAGCTCTCAGCTCTTTGCTAGTGGAGAAATGATGGCAAAAATGAGATGGCACAATTTTAGTACAATATGATACAATGTGTATTAATATTCAGGGCAAAAAGTCACTTGTCTGGTGATGATTTTCAGAGCAGCGATTGTGCCTTAAGAAGAGAATCCACTTGATTCTTGGCTGTATCATATAGTGTGCTCCGTTAGCAGGGATATACAGTATTTGTGGATATTGATACAAAGGAGAAGAAAATAAAGCTAGATGCTATTCTATTTTAGAATAAGTTCTTAAATTTGCATAAAGCTTCTTTCTCAAAGGATAGAAGGAAACTTGATGTAATGAAACTTGCCTTTCTGGAGTTTCTTAAAGTGAATTAAAAGCAATTTTGTGAAGTGATTAAGAAAAGAAATATGTGAGTGTCCTTTTGAAGGCTCTGAACTATAGCTTGGGCGAAGATGGCTTTCTCTTGAATCCCAGAACTCTAAAACAACTGAGACTGCTGCCTTTCCTTATGGAAAGCCATGTATGGAGCACTTGTGGGCAATCACAGATCCTTTCCTTATTCCAGAGAGGATTTCCAAGGAGCTGACTCGCTCCTCATTCTCCTGCAGTTGTTGGCTCTGCTCTCCATGGAGTCATTTTTAATCCACCATTGTTTCCTCAGAAGTGTCATTCATTCTTTCTAAGGCAAAGCAACCATAACATATTCCTTCTATTCTGATCAATGACTATGATTCAGTCAGTGGTGGGATTCAAATATGTGAACAATCGGTTCTCTGTGTGACTGCCGCTTCTGGAAGTCCATTCTGGGCCTGGGCAACAAAAAATTAGCTACTCGTTCTGCTGAAGTGGTGCGAACTGGCTGAATCCCACCACTGGATTCAGTCCACATTCCTTTGACCCCTATTTATTCTTGAATCAACCACTTTTGGTTTTAACACACGGATTTCTTAAGTAATCCATTCCCACTGCATTCAACTCCCTTTTACATTTCTTCTGGCATGCTAAATGCCCCTTTCATATGACAAATTGGCCAGAAGCATGCTCATACATATAAATTTTCACTTCTTTGGCATTCATTCGTATGAACAAACCATATTCTAATCACACCTTTCTACTAGTACTACTTTCATGACTTAATATTTTTCCATCCATTTGTACATGAATTCATATAAATTTTTCATCATTTATATATAACTTGCAATCATTCATTCATTTTTCCTTCTCAGGTACAAATACTTTATCTTTGATACATTAATTTTCAGAACCTTACTCTTACAGCATCCTGCAGTCTGCACAATATTCATTACAAGTCATTTAGTTTCTTAGCCAACCACACAGCATCACCTGCATAAAAATGCAACATTATCTGCATTCATGTTGACAAACAACACATTTCTCTCATCACAAGCATTATGCATTTATCCATAAATAAAACAAGGAGATATCACACAACCTTGTCTTAATGTTACCGGTAATTCAGTTTTGTAGCATATGCTAAGCATGTCATACATTTATTCCTGTGTAAGCATTACTTACATTGTATATCACTTTTATCACATTTAGCAACCAAACTTCAATTCCATATTTGTGCAAAGCAATTCAGAATTCAAGCACAATTTGAATTATGCATCAAAACATCTACAACTGCGCCCTTTGCTCAACTGCGAGGCCCTGTGCTCAGTCACTC